ATATATAAATAGAAACACACTCCCATATACATACAATATCACAAACATATCTACTTACACACACACACATAAACACAAACACATGCTTACACACTCACCAAGTCCAGCTCATATGTTTCGCCCAGCATGGGGTTGAAGGGTTTGTTGGTGCGGTAGTAGGTGGTGGCGTAACTAGAGACTGTGTACGCTGCGATGTAGCACATCCGTTCGTGTGTGGTGGTGCATTTGGCTGCCTTGTCCAGCAGATGTGAGTATTCCAGGTCTTCACTGAGACGCTGTGTAGGTGTATATATAGTGTTTAGTCTGCAAGTAATTAGTGTGTAGATATTTAGTAAATCTTAGAATCATATAGGTACCAATACGCATATATGAACTCATACGTATACACGTACATATACGTCTATATGTACTCATAAGCACATAAGTACTTATACGCATATATGTACTCATGCACATATAGGCCTAGAATGACCTAGATTTGCAAGCAACAATAACATCTGATTTTCTACACAGAGATGGTAGTATTCAATTTTGATCCCGTGACTCCAGTGTAGGCTACCTTGTAACACGGAGAGAAGTGTAGTCTGAATATTTACATAGAAATGGAAGTATTATATGTTTATACCATGACTACCTGTAACACAGAGAAAAGTGTGCACAGAGACAGTCACACACACAGTATGTATCCTGACTCCAGTGTAGGCTACCTTGTAACACGGAGAGAAGTGTAGTCTGAATATTTACATAGAAATGGAAGTATTATATGTTATACCATGACTACCTGTAACACAGAGAAAAGTGTGCACAGAGACAGTCACACACACAGTATGTATCCTAAATCCAATGTAGGCTACCTTGTGATAAAATAGAAGTCCTCACACAGACCGTTACACACACTTGTCTATCCCCCTGATCCACTTGTGGGCAGTTATTCTCTCGCGAAGTCGTATTCGTAACCGCAGCAAGTCTCCAAAGCGACAAGCCTCTAGCTGATGTACTTGTAATACCGGGAAAGGTCCACACACACACACAGATGTATATACACTGTTTGTGTCACTGACGCCAGTGTAGGTTATAGCTTAATACACGGAAATAAGTTCACATACAGAAAGATACATGCACTGATTGTGCCATGATCCAGTGCAGGCTAAGCTTGTAACCTACACAAGTGCACAAAGAGACACAAACGTGCAATTGTATATCAATCTGATCCAATAGTGAACACACCTGCAACATAGACAGCGGCTCGTTCATCATCACGGGCATGGGTATCTTAGACAAGTCTTTGCCAATGTTATTCTTCAGCACAGCCCTGTAGAACCAACAGTTGGATGTGAGTGACCTTATCATATATATCAGGTTAGATACAAACGTGTATATGGTATTAAAGCAACAGTTGGGTGTGAGTGACCTTATCATATATATCTGGTTAGATACAAACGTGTATATGGCATTAAAGCAATAGTTGGGTGTGAGTGACCTTACCATATATATCAGGTGAGATACAAACGTGTATATGGCAATAAAGCAATATTTGGGTGTGAGTAACCTTACCATATATATCTGGTTAGATACAAACGTGTATATGGTATTGGAGCAACAGTTGAAGGTGAGTGACCTGATCATATATATCAGGTGAGATACAAACGTGTATATGGCATTAAAGCAATATTTGGGTGTGAGTGACCTTACCATATATATCAGGTGAGATACAAACGTGTATATGGCAATAAAGCAATATTTGGGTGTGAGTGACCTTATCATATATATCAGGTGAGATACAAACGTGTATATGGTATTAAAGCAATAGTTGGGTGTGAGTGACCATATCATATATATCTGGTGAGATTTAAACGTGTATACGGCAATAAAGCAACAGTTGAAGGTGAGTGATCATATCATATATATCAGGTCATCTACAACCTTGTAGTAAGGCATCCAACCCCGGGATACAGTCGATAGTACTACAATACAAGAGTATCGTATTCCCGTGTGAAGCTTCAGCTTCAGCCCGACCCACAACGGGAGTAGATCATAGACAAATACACACCCCGAAGAGACAATGTGTTAATACAACACACACACAACAACTACAACACCACCAAACACAACAAAACAACAACACACATATAACAACAACACACACAACAACAACTAACAACACGTACACAACAACAAAAACACACACCACAGCACACACACAACAGCAACACACACACAACAACAACACACACACAACAACAACACACACACAACAACAACACACACACAACAACAACACACACACAACAACTACAACACGTATACAACAACAAAAACACACACCACAGGTTGAGCCTGTACACTTAAGTTTTATCGTGCACTGAAGTTATACGACTTAGCTGCGCTGCAAAAACACCCCAAAAACACCCCCAAAACAAACAAAACAAGCATTATATTTCACTTGTCTACTATATCAAACCACACCCATCCACAAGTGCAAATAACACACCACAACCCAAACAGCCACAACAGTAGATATCATATAAAACGTGGTATGGTGACTCTGAATGTTCACACAGCCACACTATCTTCCTACGCTTGTCGTGTGTGGAGATGGGTGTCCATAGACATACACACACAGTCAACGCGTGTGAGAGATGAAACGGGTACACGAGGGTCTCGGTACCAAGCAGGTGGACGAGAAATGTAATCGTATTCCGTATCTAGGAATTTAACTACAACTCAACGTTTTGCAAAGTAAGTGTACGCTGGGCCACAGCTATCCATCCGATCGGTTGTGGTTGTAGGTGTATGTGTTGTGGTTGTAGGTGTATGTGTTGTGGCTATAGATGTATGTGTTGTGGTTGTAGGTGTATGTGTTGTGGTTGTAGGTGTACGTGTTGTGGTTGTAGGTGTATGTGTTGTGGTTGTAGGTGTATGCGTTGTGGTCGTAGGTGTATGTGTTGTGGTTGAAGGTGTATGTGTTGTGGTTGTAGGTGTAGGTGATATGGTTGTGGTTGTAGGTGTTGTGGTTGTAGGTGTTTGTGTTGTGGTTGTAGGTGTTTGTGTTGTGGTTGTAGGTGTAGGTGTTGTGGTCGTAGGTGTATGTGTTGTGGTTGTAGGTGTATGTGTTGTGGTTGTAGGTGTAGGTGATGTGGTTGTGGTTGTAGGTGTTGTGGTTGTGGTTGTGGTTGTAGGTGTTGTGGT